CCAACATAAATGATCTTGAAAACATGTTAAGTGAGAAAAGCCAATCACAAAAGACCACATGTTGTATTTTATGGTTCCACTTATATGAAATGTCAAGACCAAGCAAATCTACAGAGATATAAAGTAGATTTGTGCTTCCGTTGACATGGGGTGGATACTAGATGGATACCTAAGGAGATGCTGCTGATCTGTACGGGATTTCCTTTTGAAGTGATGAAAATATTCCTATTGATTGTGGTAATGATCGTACAAATGAGTTAACAAAACTAAAGAGTTTTATACTGTAAATGTGTGGGTTTTATGTTATATGAATAACATCTCAATAAAGCTGTTATATTAAAAGAATATAGTTGTCTTTCTTTGTTAAGTCTAATTAACTCAACCCTAGGCTTTTTATAGTTATATACTCTTTGAGTGGATGTTCTGTAATGTACTATTCACATTTTGAAATATATCCAGTTTGTTCCTGTTTTTTTTTCTCCTTAATACCAATACTAATGTGGTTAATGTAAAGAGGTATTTTACCAAATAAATTTGCTAGTGGAATTGCTCCATTTGCAGCATCCCCATCCCCCCCCCCCCAAGAAAAAAAAACGAAGTAACAGAACTCTCCAAAAACTGGTGAATTCAAACACATTTTAAAAATATCTGTTAGGTGCAAAAGTACGCCATGACAAAAAAGGAACAGACTGTTGATCCTGACCTTCACTAGCGTTTACTGGTCTTTCCCGCGGCCCAAACCTGAAAGGTGAGTTTGTTCCGGACCAGTCGCCTTTCCTTGCTAGTCTGTGACCTTTATCATAAACTTCAATAAGAGCTTCAAACATTCTGGATTTGAAAGTCATGTATTGCAACCCACTTCCCGCTGGATAGGAGGCCTGGTGGATGAAGGGGTTAAAGTGCTACGCTGCTACTGGGTCCTGTAAGAAAGGTCACTAAGGGATGGACTCCACAGCAGTGGGCTGTTCTTGACTTTACGCTAGAAACTCAGCCCGGGTTTACCACGCAAGGACTATATAGCTTTTTGACTAAGTGGTGTTTGCCGTACGGAAACTTCAACTTCCTCTAAAATGGCCGCGCCCACAGTCCCATTTCCTAATTCTGTATAAAATGGATAAATGGCACCGCCATCTTTTCTGCCCATCTCAGGGAAAGAGATTTTATCCCACACTGTATTTTTTAAAACTCAACATTTTTTAAGCTTGAGCCTCCGAACGACTATCTATTTCCAGGCAGGACTGAGGCGCTAGGACCGTGTGGGTGACTCCTCATCCTTCCATCCATTTCTGGTTACAGGCGCAAAAACAGCCCGTTTGCCTCTTGTACGTAATGTATTCGAAGATGGCTGCCCCCAGGGTTACATGGCAAAGAGGGCGCGGATGTATTATTCCACCCCCTGCAGTCCAGAGAAGTGCTCCATAGGATTCCAAGGCTGTAAATCGTTATGGAAGCCAACTGCCTCATGTTCCTCGTGCAGAGTGGTTAGTGATTTCAAACCGCCAACCTTGAGGTTCGCATCCAAGTGCTTCAACCACTGTGTCGCCAGGGCTCCTACAGGCATATTAAACCCACGGCCATGGAACCGATTCTGATACATAACGACCCTAGAGTACTAAGTAGAACTGCCCTGTCGAGTTTCTAAGGCTGTAAATTTTTATGGAAGCGAAGAGCCACTGCCCCATCTTTATTCCGTGGAGCAGCTGGTGGCTCCGAACTGTGATTGGCAGCCAAAGCCTGAACCGTTACGCCGCCTGGGAGATGCACTTGTAGCTGTACTTCCTAGAAACCCTTCAGGCCCTCGTCGGTCACCGTACGCCGGTTGCCTCTGAGGTGGGGCCAGACATGGCGGCAGTTGAGGGAAGTGATTTCTGTCAGCGACTCATCCCGCTGGTGGGTGAAGAAAATCCGTTCGGTGCTTGGGGTCTTTGCGTGGAACCGGGTGACGGGTCTGATATCGTCCGTGTGTGGCGTTGTACTTGGGCGGCCGTCGGGACATTAACGTGGGTACCCCCTCTTTTGCGGGGCGTGGTAAGTACTCCGAGGTGGGAGCTGTGTGATTGGGGGTGTCTTTGGCGTCATTGGTAGCCTTCTCTCGGGATTAGAGATTTAAGATCCCCAGAGAACAACGACGGACAGTCTCGATGTCAGATTGGGGGTCTTCGCGGGTTCTGTGCCCGTGGGGCTCAGTCAGCGAGAACTGGACGGGCGTCTTTGTCAGCGGCCGCGGGCTACCCTTGGGGTTCTGTTTGGAGTAAATGCTGGAGGAGCTGTTTCGGGGTCCGCCGTCGGGGCTTTCTGGCCCCGGGTTTGGGATTATTCGGGGGGGGGGGTGTGTGTTTGCGGGGTTGGTCTGTGTGGACGGTTGCCGCTCCGAATGCCTTGATGGACAGACGCTAACTTTCACCGTCAGTGCGTTCTGCGCAAGCGCCCTGCTCGTGACCGCTTTTCAGTTAATCCAGTTGTTTCTTATGGTTGAACTGTCAGTCATCAACGTTTCCCGGCAGCTGAATGAGTTACCGTATCGACAAGTTATATGTGTTTTTGCTTCAGATGCGCCTTTTATCCTTCTTGCTGCATGTTTACAACGTGTTTCTCAAAGACATGTGATTTTCTTAGGTTCTTTCTGACATATGTAAAATAACATCTCTACCACTCTAAATTCGGTTTCCCGAAGCTAACCTTTGTCAGAATGTTAGTATATTTAAATGTGAGGCTTTTGTGTTATGTGCCTGTGAGTCATAATTCAGAGAAACTGTTAAATGGTCTTAGGATTTCCATTTTCACTTTATCGCATGTAATAAACGTTTAAAAGTTGAA